ACGAGATGACTTCGTTGGGCCGCCTCGTGACTCCATGAGATGTTGAAAGGTGACGCGAGGAATCTGACACTGCACTGTTGCCCTTCTGTTGTCTTGTACCAGTCTTGCCACTCTCCGTTCTGCCCTAACATTGACTAGCTGCTGACGGCTACAATTCGCACGCTCAGACCAAGATTTTCGTCTGACAGTCCAGTCTTTAAACACTTTAACAACAGCTGCTCTTGAACATTTAACGGATTCTGCTGTTTTGCTGATACTCGCTCCATGGTTCCGAGCGCCAACAATCATCCCACGTTCAAAGGCTGTTAAATCGTGTACTTTACCCATATCTTCAGAAAAAAAATCACTTCTACTATCGTGATAAACAACCTGCTTCCCTATTTATAATGGTCTGGCCCTCTAGCAACTTCAGCGCAAAATTATCGCTAATTATAGCTAATTTGCCTACAAACGTCAGGTGGTCATAATAATCTGGCCACTCAGTGTATATAATGCATGAAGTGTGTTGCCCCTGTTTTTTTCTAACCTTGAAGTAAGCTGAAATGCATACCTCCTAACAGTCTGAGCTGTAAAAGAGGGACAACTTTTAGCTCAAAGTATGTAGGCAAAGAACACACCACTGCCGTGCCCTCAATTACATGAACTTTGAGGAATTAATGTGCAAAATAATTATTGCTTGATCCCACAAATATTTTATTACTCACAGCTCTGAATCTGAATAGCCTTTTCAAAGTGTTCAACACTAGGGATGCACTTAGGTTTGCACCATCTTCTCTGAGCTCCCCTGAACAAGGAAATGCCATGGGCACTTCTACCCAATCAGCTGCAGGCTGAGCATTCCCCACCCTACAGCTGCATGTAAACAAAGGGGGGGGGGTGCCAGTGCTGATGTTAGTTACCTTATATGGCACATACATACAGTATAGTCATATTAGGAAACATAGTAACATAGTATGTAGGGTTGAATAAAAGACAAAAGTCCATCCAGTTCAACCTATGTGTGTATGTGTGTGTGTGTGTGTGTGTGTGTGTGTGTGTGTGTGTGTATAAATGTCTGTAACCCTTCCCATACCCTTGTCTATGTAGTGAAAGAAGAAACTCATCTAGAAGTTTCTTGAATTTATCAATGCTGCCATCAGATACCACCGCCTATGGAAGGGTAGGCAGATGCAGATGCAAATGATAACAGATTGCTTAGGGGAAACCAAATGAGGATAGACTATCAGATCAGCATCGGTCTGATTACAGTCTGACAACACTCATTTTAACTAAGCACTCCTGCTTACAGGGTGCTAAAGAACATAAAATTTAGAAGCATGCAAATGGGGTAATAATCTTGAAGGCAAAAGTAACTAGCAAGAGAAGAGTATGAGATATAGTTGGACTGCTCGAGATGTAGCCGTAGTGGAGGTGGTGGTAGGGGGGGCAACTGCTAAATTACAGCAGCACACTGGTGAAACATACCTCTCCCCTTTTGTTAGCATAGTCACAGCTCTCCCCTTCTGTTAGCATGGGAACAGTGCTAGACTGACAGCACTGTACAAGTAGAGCCTCGTTAGGATGAGAGTGCTGACATCTCCTCTATCAGTGTGAGCAATGCAATACAGGAGATTGCAGAGGGCTGATTACTATGGCAAATGTCTGCCGCTTTCACAGGCTATATAAAGATGTACATTAAAGGGTTAATTATAAATATACACTCACTGGCCACTTTATTAGGTACACCTGTTCAATTGCTTGGTAACACAAATTGCTAATCAGCTAATCACATGGCAGCAACTCAATGCATTTAGGCATCTAGATGTGGTGAAGACGACTTGCTGAAGTTCAAACCGAGCATCAGAATGGGGAAGAAAGGGGACTTAGGTAACTTTGAACATGGCATGGTTGTTGGTGCCAGGCGGGTTAGTCTGAGTATTTCAGAAACTGCTGATCTACTGGGATTTTCATACTCAACCATCTCTCGGGTTTACAGAGAATGGCCCAAAAAAGAGAAAATATCCAGTGAGCAGCAGTTGTGTGGACAAAAATGCCTTGTTGATATCAGATGCCAAAAGAGAATGGGCAGACTGGTTTGAGATGATAGAAAAACAGTTGGGAAGGGGGTTTAACACCGCGGATGTCAACTGGTTAAATAACAACTTGGTACAACCAAGGTATGTAGAATACCATCTCTGAGCGCACAACACATCGAACCTTTAAATCAGATGGGCTACTGCAGCAGAAGAAGACCACACCGAGTGCCACTTCTGTCAGCTAAGAACAGGAAACGGAGGCTACAATTCGCACAGGCTCACCAAACTTGGACAATAGAAGATTGAAAAAAATGTTGCCTGGTCTGATGAGTCTCACTTTTAGCTGCAACATTCAGATGGTAGGGTCAGAATTTGGAGTAAACAAAATGAAAGCTGCCTTGTATCAACGGTTCAGGCTGGTGGTGTAATGGTGTGGGGGATATTTTCTTGCCACACTTTGGGCCCATGATGCTATCATGTCAATATGGACCAAAATCTCTGAGGAATGTTTCCAACACCTTTTTGAATCTATGCCACAAAGAATTAAGGCAGTTCTGAGGTCAAAAGGGTGCCCAACCTGGTTCTAGCAAGATGTACCTGATAAAGTGGCCAGTGGGTGTATATAACTGTATTTAATGTCATCTTTTTACCATGTATGGTTGGAATGTAACATAGCTTTAAAATGTCCAGCTAAAACTTGTTTTCATGGTTTAAGATAAAGTGGCAAAGGATCAGAAACTGTTAGGCTTTCTATCTGAATCTGAACTATCTGAACCTCAATAACAATGTTTGACCAGACAGGAAGTGAGGGGAATTATCTAGCAACAACAAAGGTGAGGAACAGGGGAAAGCAAAATATAAGCGGATTAAACTTCAGCTTTAAGAGTGAATTTGATGGGCATTTACTTTTTCAACTGTGCAGCTTTGTAATTGCCGCACGCTGCTGCCTTTCCTCTACTCTCAACATCTATAAAGTTCCTACATGATTTTTATTTTAATTGGTATCCAAACACATCCTCTGTGACAAGAAAAATTCCACTGCCAACAGTCATCTGGATAAGTAGTAAGGGAATATATCTCCAGTGGGGACAAAGTGAAATAGAAAGTCAACTGTGATTCTTAAGCTTCTACGCTATATCCAAAAATGTGTGTTTTAGATTGACTTGACAATTGGTTTTGGTAACAAAGATCAAGGTATGTTAAAAGTTTTAAGGTATGAAACCCCAGTCAAAAGTCTTTGTTAGTTTTTGATACAACTGTCAGTATTTGACAATATTGTCACAAGTGCAGAAAAAAAGTGATGGAAAAAAATTAAACAGAAATAGACAGAAATAAAAACAAAAACAAACCTGGAAATAGGCTTTAAACATTTTACCATAATCAATCTTAAGTTGTGATCAGGAATGGCTACATTCCGACCTTCTATTATTCTATCACTTTAGCTTTTGCTTTTTACAAAAGCAATCTGTCTGCAATGGTGGTCATCTTTAAAAATCACCAAGCATCTGACTACGGTCTGATTCTCAGGTCACCAGTTTAGAAGAATAACCACTGCAGTCCATTTACCTTGTTTCATGTATAGTTTGTTCTGCACTCATGTGCGCTAAGCCATGTGGCTTAACATTCATCATGTGCACTAGATGAATGGTAACCATATTTTGTCACTAATGCATATGGGCCTTTAGGTGGACCCTATGTTAAAACATAAGGTCAGCTTATGTGGCAACTCCTCATTCCCTATTTACAAAACACTGGAGGAAAGCAGTAAAAAGTGAACTGAAAAACATAAAAATTCTTACCTTGCTCCCTAATTGCAGTGATCTTGCCTAGGTGAGAGTGATGTCACTGGTTTTTCTCACGTGAACATGGGAAAGATATGGAACCCAAATCCTTCAAGAATGTGCTTCTGCATATCACCGGAGCATTGTGAGATTTGGGATACTGAAGTTCCCTAAGATCCCTTTTGACTTTAGCAACAGGAAGTGGGGAGGTTTCAGGGAGTAAGGTAAGTATTTTTATAGTTTTCTTTCTTTCTTTCTTTCTTTCTTTCTTTCTTTCTTTCTTTCTTTCTTTCTTTCTTTCTACTGCTATCCTTCAGCATTTTGTAATGAAGGGGTGAGTGAGATGCTTTCACATAACTGGACCGTGCATATTGGGTCAGTTTCTCATAGCATGTGAAGCTCCACATTGGCTTCCATTCTATGTATTTATTTATATAATTTCAATAAAATGTGCAACCTTCTACAGAGTGCACAAAACAATCTACATTACTCCCTGTCCAATGGAATAGTCCTGCCACCATCATACAGACGTACTATAGGAACAATATAAATAATCTACCACCTCCAAACACTAAGGACGTAATGGAGTATATTTAATGAAGGAATAGGTTGTTTACTAAGCAGAGAATGCTCACTATGCAAAGTGAATGTTCACTGAGCTCAGTCAAAGGGGTGAACATGCATTTACTTCAATAAACCAATCATTTGATACATGCAAAATATATGCAAAAATATGCAAAGATCCAGTTTTTTCTATTTTCTTTGTTCATGATTGGGAATTCAAAGTGCAGCACAGTTTCATCTTATCTATGTATCTTATCATTTTCTGCAACATAACATTTTCTCTGCTAAGTGTACAGCTTCTATTCCTTTAGCAAATCTATCCTATATTCTGTAGTGATAATAGAGTTCTGTAACCGATCTCTGCAAGACTGCTACGGTCTTATTTATTAGTTAATTGTATTGCTTTTTCTGTATTTATTAATATATAAAACTCTGCTATTCTTCTATGGTATTTAAGTCTACGGTGAACTGTTTTTATCCTTATTAGGCAGTATCTTCTGGTCTGATGTTCATGCTGGTGGGATTATCAATACATTATCTGCATGACAATGACTTATATCTGTCTGTCTAACTGATACTGGATGTTTTTAGATATCTGTTTAAGTATGTGACAATTGATTGTTATGTGTTTCTAATTTAGCTCCTTTCATCACTACTCCTCTCGAGACACTTGATGGATTAGTGGAAGATGTTGCCACTTTTATGTGTGCTGTTGATTCATATCCTCCACCAGAAATAACATGGACACGTAATAACATTCCTATAAGGTATGCAAAAATATTTTGTGCCTAAAATGTATTTATACATTGTGTAACATTTACCATACAAAATATTGAAAGTGTTCTGTGATGCTTAATCATTACCAAAGATTAGTACAGTGCATACTCGTATATATTTTCTCCATAATAGTATATTGTCAAAAGAGCAATGGAATCCAGTTGTGTAAAAATAAGGCAAAGGCCAATTTTTATTAACTGCCATTGAATATTGCCCATCACTGCGGTTAAATGAGTACATTGCATACTTTCCAGCACTTCAGAAGATACTAAACACATTTGTTTGCCACCTACAGAAATCACCTACATCACAGAAATCATGATTGTCAAACTTACCCTTTTCACATGTCCTTAAGAAGTAAAAGAGTTTTAAAACAAACCATCACTGACCTCTCTAGTTGCATGTACTGTGAAGTAATTTAAAGTTGACAACAAAGACTCTAAAGGTGCATTAACACCTGAGCGCGAGCATTTTTTGACAATTTTAGAGCATTTTTATTTTTGGGTTATTGCACATTTTGCACATTTGTTCAGGTGTATTCAGGCTGGATCATTTTTTCCAAGTGGATACTAGGAGAAGAAGAGGGTTGTTTAACCTTGAAAAATTATAATTTTTAGGCGTACTCAGACGTTTCAGGCATTTTTCATGCACTTCTATGAGACCAAAAATGCTCCATTCGTCTTCAAAATTAGCTTATGTACCGTGAAGTATAGCCCCGCCCCTGGTACCACGCACAGTCAGGAAGTGCAGAAGCTTTACTCACATCGTGTGAGCGGCCGGTTTTATCGTTTTAAACTGTAAGTGGCTACGTTTTTTGTTTCAATAAATCTTTATCGCTTTAGTTCATCCTATATATCCACAAGCGCAGATTATACATACTTTATTGGGCTTCAAAGGCCTGAGCACTCATTTGCGAACAGGTACAATTTAAAAGCATAGGTTAGCTTTTAAATGGATAAATGGTCAGAAAAATAAAGTAAGAAAAAACACTTTTTTTATATAGTTTTGTCTCCACTGTCCTGGAACAGAAGTCATGTAGTGTGTCTAAATATGACTGCACAATCCAGGAGGCATAAGATTTCGACAGCGCTGCCCAATGTCCTCTGCAATCTCAACATACCTGGTGAGACATGATCCCCCCACTTCCCCTTCCATTAAAAAGGATGCTTGGAATGAGGGATGAGGTTGTAATGCCAGCATAGATCACTGGAAATGTATTTTAAGGCATTTCCAAAATTAGGTTAAAATCATAACTGGAGTATAAAGAGATGTCAACTGGGCCTTGAGTTAAGCCTTATGCTTTACCTAGTACACCCCACAATGTTCTTTCACCTCTTATTGTACTCCTTCAAGGGTAGCCACTGAAACACACTGTCAGTTTAACAACCAAGGTCCTGATTTGCTTGTAGGAGATTTTAGCGTAATAGCTTAGACCAATTATTGATACAATCAATTTAATGTTTGTGTGACTGTAATTAGCTGCAACAAATCTAAATGTAACTAAGAAGAGTCCATGGAATCAAAAATATAAGCGATATAGGAGGTAGGTGTAGTGGATAACTTGCCTGCACTGAAACCTATTTCAGGAAAAACTATCAAAAACGTGCTCTTAGAACTGCCCACTTTGGGACACAGCACTTTATTTGAATTGCAGTACTTGATCTCATAGCAGACTTTTTAGCTGGCTTCTTCTTCAAATAAAGCACCGGGGTTGGACGTTTGTATTAATGATGTCGAAGAGCAGAGAGACAAGTTCTTTGAATAAAATCTTTTTCCATGCAACCTCATATTAACTCTTAGTTAATCTTAATTAGCCTTCGCTCCTTCACTTCTTCCTGCCCAATTTTATTATTATTTTTCAGAAAACATAGCACAGCATAAAAAACGCATTCAAATAAATTCATGCGTTGTCCTTTATTTGGAAACACCTCACATCCCTAGGATTTTAGAAATGTTTCTGTATTAGTCAGCTTAAAATGAAAAGCTATTTTTTTTCTCTAAAAGCTAATGGTGGTCATCGGGCATACAATGTCACTGTCATTGAGTGTGACCAAGGGTCACACTTAGTGACAGCGACATACTTTGCACATTTCTGTCATGAGGGGGTTACATTAAAAAATTAGGGTGGAAAACAAATCTGTACCTCACTTGCAGATTGTCATTGTATTCATGGTTAATTTTTTATAAAATGATAGTATAAAAATATACTCATATATATAATTTTTATTTTTTTTAATTTATTTTTATTTTTTAGACTATTTTTTTTAAACTTAAAACTATGAAACTATTTTTTTCAAATTTTTTACACTTTTATTTTTAATTTTGTCAAGCAGTCATTGTGAATATATCTCACTATGACTGCTTGATAAATTAATTACTTAATTTTTGGTTATTATTAGGCTGCTCCAAACTTAGGAACAGCCAATAATAACCTTAGCGACACTGATTCTTACATGCTGATCCTGCAGCAATTCAGGATCAGATGTCACTAAAAGCTTCTGATCGTTCCCACAACAATCAGAAGCCTGAAACAATGTTTCAGAATAGAAACATGTAGCTAAATGTTTCTATGTTGAAACATTTAGCAAAAAAACAGTACACAGCGGGATTTCCTAATCCCGATCTGGACCAGCTGTCAAACTATGACAGCAAGTGCGGTAAATAACGCACTGCTATCACTATCAGACACCCCATTCCTAAAAGTGATCAGGTGTCTGCAAAAGCTTAACTCTTTTATTAATGGATGCCTCCATACTGAGGCATCCATTAATGAACGGTAGCCACTGATTCTCAGTGATGACCAATATTACAGAGCCCCAAATAGCTGCTCACCTACAGTGTTTGTGATCAGACCTTTGGGCACTTAGTGACGTGGATGTACAGTGTACGTCTCCCGTCACTAAGGGGTTAATGTATGCACTAGGCTCAACTCTCAAAGCCTTAACACCAGTCTAGGGCACTTCATTTTTAGCAATATCTGTACTTTTCAAATTGCATTGGATTCAACTGAAAATAACTGCCATTGTTTTAAAAATATTGTTAGCTTTGTGAATTTAGCCTATTACATCAATAGTAAGACTGGTTTTTAAAACCACCACTGTTAAAATGAAAAGTCATATTTTCTCTTTGTTACTTATTTATGCCTATGTAGAAGACAATACTATGTTCAGTTCATTCTCAAAGTCTATTTGTAGAAAAAGGAGACAACTGTGGCTTGGAGATAAATGCTTTTACAGAAAGCTACACACAGATATAAAAATGATTCCAAAGCTAAATGTTGTTTTCCAATTTTGGTTCAATAAGGAATGGTAAAACGATGAAATCTCTCCACAATGAGGGGAATCTCCTCTTAGACAGTTGTCATGGGACCATTGTCCCAACTGGAAGACTCCCCCTCTGTTCCTGTTCTGGTGGCAACACAAAATTGTGGATTTTTCCTTACTGTCACCCCAAGTGTCAGTAGTCACCAGGAGAAATAGGGACACAAAGAGCAATGTAAATCTGACAGGGGTTCTACCCCCTCACACTATCATTCTACAAAAGAAGTTCTGCATTGAACTCGAGATCTAGTATTTGCAAATTGCCTTTTTTTTTTACAACAATATTTCTTTTATTTACATTTTTTGTTGAACAACATAAGGAAGACAAAACTGCCTTGATACAGGATAATGGAATACAGAACTTTCAGTTGGTACATACATATGGATCGTCATGCATTGTCATCCATGTCCATGACACCTGTATCAGACAAAACAATATAAACAAGCTAAAAACAGAAAATAAACTATGACATTCTATTGAATATGTATGGTTACCGTAAGTAATAGGAGCTTGTAAGCCATTTACACCATTGTCTATAAAATCGATGGAAGGTGTGATTTTTGTATGCGTACATACGTTCGTATGAGCATTGTAGATTGGTCATTTGGATCACTTCTGAGAAGTTGGGGGGTGAGGGGGAGAGCGATTGCCGTGAGATTAATGACTTTGCTGCATAGAAAATATGGGAAACGATAACTCTAGAGCATGGGGGAAGTAGGTTCAGGTCGATATGAAGCAATGCTAGTGAAATAAAAGGTGAGATAGGTTTTATCTTTTACAACAATATTTCTTTTATTGAAATCAAATTGCCATTTTTTAAGTGGATTCAGTATCTCTGAGAAAACTACCGTGGAGGTCCTTTCCTTCATCCTAGCACCTAGGTCTCTGAACTCCCTTTTCAGGACACTCCAGTTTCCTCCTATTTTGTCATTGGTGCCGATGTGCACCATGACAGCGGGGTCGTGCCCAACCCCATCTAGTAATCTATCAATTCGTTCCGCAATGTGTCGAACACGTGCCCCCCATAGAAGCAAGTAAAGGAAAATATTTTATTCTGCACTCACTCTTCCAAGTGAATATCCAATTCACCTGGCAGCATAAATGCCTTAGTGAACAATAATGTATGAGGCTACTTACCAGTACTTTTATTTGGCGTGGTGTGGCAGCAGGAGCCACCAATGCAGGAAGCCATGGCTCCAATGCATATAGGTTCTCCACCCCAGGATCCAATAGAAACCTGCTTTTAAAGTAGATGGGAAGTCAAAGATACAGTATATAAACATGGTGGGTATGCCATGCTCATATAGGAATCTGAGTGGAGCTTTGCACAGCAGTTACATGGCCACTTTCTGTCTCTCTGTCCAAAATACCTCCAGAGCTATAGGTTGCGTAGAAGATTCAGCACAAGGTCAATGCATGTGAAGTTGCTGCTAAGTCCTGGAGGGAGATATAAGCTTGATGCGCATCGGCACTGGTGAATGTAGTCCTACAGCAGGAGTGTGCATTGTAGGATGACAATGCCAGCGCTGCTTTGTAAGCAATGGGTCAGAGTTGTCAACCTACAATTTACTAATTGTAAAGAATAAGAGCTAACATTTAGATCGTTTTTAGAGTGGAAAAAAAGTTTGTTCATTAAATAAATAACCTGGCCATGGGCAACATATATTTAATTTTAGGTTTCCCAGGGAATATGGAGTGTGACTTATTGCCCCTGTGATATCATTGGCCTAATAAGGTATCTGCTATCCTGGCTTAGAGGGAGCTGGTTGAATGCAAATTCATTAGTTCATCCCTATTAGTGAACACTCCATCTCCAATACAGCTCAAATTGTTCTCCTGTATAGGCCACAAATGTCAAACAAGGTAACTGTTTTCTGATCTAGTCCACCAAATACAACAGCTAATGGCAGCTATTCTATTTATACCTTTCATAACAATAGATATTACTCCCATGGATTACGTTAAGCAGTCGCTGGACTATGTTAGCAGGGGATGAATATTTTGCAAAGGTTAGCTCAAAGTCTGCACTCTGCAGTGTAATGCTGCAGCAATTCGCACCGATCTATAATGAATCAAATGAATCATATACTGTATTCAGTGATCCAGGGAATCTGGAGCTTTTAACAGTTTCTCATTTCAAAAAAAAGTTGCATTGCTTTATAATTTCTGGAAATACAGTATAATGCAAGAATGGGCCTCATGCCACAGTCCCTAGAATACAAATGTAAGGATGCTATAAACAAACCTGGAATTACTTTTTTTTTTTTTTAAGAAAAAAAATGTGTCACCTATACAGGGTTATAGGGTGTGTAAATTATAAGACTGGCTGATTATACAAATCTTTCAGCAGGTAATATGTATATCTGTTAACCCAGAAGGAGATATTCTTATGGCGAATTCTGACCTTCTTCTGGAAATGGTAGTTGCCTGGCTGTCATGCTTATCTAACAACCTCGGTGCTTTCCTGGAAAATCTGCAGGTGAAGCTGATGCCAGAAATAGCAGCTTCCATATCAGTTTAATTCGGGTACAACTTTAGGTCCCTTTCACACGGGCACCTGTCAGTTCTGATGAGCAGGAGATCCATGCACCGTGCACAGTTTTGTCATCTGTGTCCGTCTAGTTTTGTCCTCTATCTTGTATTGGAGGAAACAACTGAACTTGCTGGACCCATGTTGGTCTATGGGGAATCAGATGTAAACAGACATTTGTCTATTTACATCATATTACCCCAGATCCATCACAATCAGGTCCATCAAAACTGGATTTGGGTGTAATCAGATGTAAACGGATACATGTCTGTTTAGATCTGGCTACCCATAGGCTAATACTGGGCTTCCAATCAGGTCCACCACAGAGTTCTGTTTGGTTTCCAGGCTTGGACTTGGAGTCAGGAGTAATTAGATGTAAATAGACACACATCTATTTAGATCAGGCTGCCTATAGACTAACATTGTGCTTCCGATCAGATCCTCCTGAAAAACTGACAGGCGGACCTGATCAGATTGCCTGTGTGAAAGGGCTCTAACAAGGTTTTTCCATATGTGCAAGTTAATGTAGAATAACTGTCTGCCAGGAGCTTTTCATCATATTAATATTTTATGGACTCCACTTTGAAATCTTTGAGTAGTAGTATTCATTAGAGGAGCTTATATAAAAGTGTAATAACAGACATTTCACTCCACCACCATGGTGCGTCTCACCGGCTTTTCCTAGAATGGAAAAAAAGAAATGAAATAAGGTCATCAAACACATTTTTGGCAGTTGTCAGCACGTAGATGTGTTTCCAATGAGTTTATCTAAATTGTGCTTGCACAGAACAGCTGAGCAGAACATTTTCCGTTTGCTCACCTTCTACTTGTCTAAACAGTTGAGAAGAAGTGTTCATATAACCAGGAGCTGAGGGATGTGTGTAAACGTAAAGACATCCCCTCATATTGTACTGTTTCCCAACATGATATATGCACGCATCAAGCATCATATGTGTGTCAGTGAGACTTCCGATAACACGGCTAACCAAACAGATGAAATAAGTGCTTAACCTACCGGAGCCTCAGCTTGCTTACAAAATATAACTGCACACTTATGCTATCCTTCTTACATCAACTCCAGAGATTTCTTAGTTCATCTAAAATTATAGAGATGCCTTGCATGGGACAGTGGGGTACTTGCTATGAGTAAGAAAAGGCAGCATTAATCTCTCAATTTTTTTTTTTAAATAATGAATCCAGATTAAAGAAATGTACATTGCCCAGCAATATAATTCTTTACATTTATGCCCAAACACTTACAGTCAACATGTTCCAAATGGCTGGCTCCAACTCTCTCAGCTCAGCTTTCCTAAACTTCCTGTCCAGTACAAGCTCACAAGGGATGAAACAGTGTCCAACTGCTGTCCATCTACTTAGCCAAACTGCGGCCCTCCAGCTGTGGTGGAACTACGAATCCCATGAGGCTTTGCAAGATTCTCACAGCCACAGACATGACTCCCGGAGAGAGATGCTTCATGGGATTTGTAGTTTCATCACAGCTGGAGGGCCGGAGTTTGGCCATGCCTGATCTACTAGCTTGGAGAAGGGAGCAGCAGAGAGCAGGGGAATGACTTGCCTTGCCAAATCTGTGTGTTTCTGAAGACACATAAAGCTTACTAGCACACACAAGGTTGGCTCCATAGGACCCTGCAAGAGAAAGGAGCCACCCTTAAACAGGTTATCAGGACCAGTGCTCAGGGGACCAGCTGATTCTACAGGAAGCTGAAAATGTTAAACATCAAGGAGCAGAATTCATTGTAAGTGATTTAATCAGCTGTTGAAATAGCTTAAACACCTTTTAACTTTAATACCACTTTAAAGCTGAACTCCAGGTAAAAAGATTTGTGTATACTTACATTGGTCCAGATTGACGCAAAGTAGGTATACATATTTTATACTTGGCAGGGCCATGAGGATCCTGTAAAACCCTTGAGCAGCTGGAGCTATTACAGTGCTTTACAGTGATCTTCCAGGTCATGTACTGCATCTGTACTGTACTGAGCAACTTCCCCTCTGTTGTGAAAACACAGTGAGGTGCTCACTCGGCACAGCGGCCATTCAGAGAATGTCTAATATTTTTATCAATGAATGCTAGGCCTTCTCTGATTGCAGGAGGGACAGTGATGTCACAGCAGTACAGGACCCAGAAGATCTCTGTAAAGAGCTATAGTAGCTGTGGTCCTTCCAGGTGTAACATATGTATATTTGTGTATGTATACATGTATATTCATGCCTGGAGTTTAGCTTTAAGCACCTAAAAAGAGAAAATGACAATGATTGACCCCCATAGACACACCATTTTTTCTATTTCCATAATTATTTCCCTATGTGCTGCCTGCACTGTTATACAGCCATTATATAGATGCATAAATCCCCCAACAACTGAAATTAAGCTGGGGCAAAAGTATAAAAAAACTACTTTATGGGGCCAATTTACTAAAGATGTAGCCTATGTAGACTTTGCAAAGTGAGTTTCATGACACTTAGTGAGATGAAAGTGGGGTTTTTTTGGAATACGTAACTATGTGCAAGGTCAAAAAAGAACCAAAACAATACATTTAAAAAAAAAAGACAATTTCATTGCAATTGATTGGATAATTGAAGTGAAAACAATTTGCTTTACAAAAGGAACACACCCCACTGAGTATTGATTTACTAACGGCATATTTGATTGCATGTGATTGGGTATTCTTTGCAATGTGAATTTTTCCCACTTTCACAAAGCTAAGGGAACATTACATTTAGTAAATCGACTCCGTATGTGCAGTTAGTGTGCTAGCTAGGAAAGTAAAAAGTAGTAAATCAGACATTCTGCCCACAGGTTGTTTGACACGCGATACAGCATTCGAGAAAATGGACAACTCCTGACCATTCTCAGCGTGGAAGAAGGCGATGATGGTGTATACTGCTGCGTGGCTAAAAATGGTGTGGGGGACGCTGCCGAAAGCTGTGGGGCTTTACAAGTGAAAATGAGTAAGTGTCAATGATAATACAAATTGAGTTCACTTTGTGCCAACAGTTGTTCTCTCCTTTAAACCCAATTAGCAGGCCTGTCAGACGCTTTTAAAACATCTGAAACAAATCCAGCTTTGAGATATATTTATCTAAAAATATGGGATCCTTATATTCACTTTACTGGTAATTTAAAACATTCAATTATTTGACTCTATATACATTTCTCATATACTAAACCATTATATTGTCTGCTTTTTTTTTTAAAACTTCAGAGTGCATGTTACCTTCTTGGTTCCTTCTCCCAGAAGAAATACTGAGCTGCTCGGCCGTGATCGGGAGCTGTACAGGCTATTGTGAATAGCCCGTACAGCACCCCCTCGGTTCTCCTGAACCGAAGGGGTCCTGGGGCCGAAGCCAGCCGAAGGATCGGCCGAAGCTACGGCCAGATCCTTCGGCAGCTTTGTGAATAGACCCCTAAGTCCATTAAAGCTAAAGCTAAACTCTGGTATAAGCAAATGTTGTCTAAATGCAGAGGGGATGTGTATTCTTACTTGAATCTTGGCGTGCTTTGTGTATTTCTTCCAGATCTGTGCAGTAATCCAGGGTGAAACCTTGTCTGCATGTAGGAGCTCCTGTAATAAAGACCAGTCACTGCTGCTCTCTCCTTGTGCAGGGTGACTGGTCTTGTCTCAGCCCCCTCCTGTAGTTTTCTGCAGGCAGCCTGTTGTGGGTGGAACCTGCTGAGTCCCTCCCACAGCTCTGCTCTCTGCACATGTTATGTACAGCAAAGTGATGATTTCACTGCTACATTTACAAGGTAATCTCTGGTTTTTAAAGCCATTTGGTGCACACAAAGTAGATTTATATCCTTTGTTGCTATTGTGGAATATTTTCAAATGAAAGTTTTTGTGGCCAGAGTTTAGCTTTAAACCAAATGTGAACTTAAATCACTTCTATACTTAAGGACACAAATGTAGTATATAGGCAGCTTACCACTTTATTTGCACCTGTCATTAACACTCTTTCTGTTCTAGGGGGACAATGCTCACTTAGTGTACTGTATCTATGGAGGAGCAGACTTGTCACCCTAGACTGTTCTCCTGATTTTGACTATAAACACCTAATACCTATAACGAGGCAGCCTGAAGTGGTAGCCTCAGGTGGCATCTCATTGGAGTATGAATGGGTATAGCGGGTGGGGGCGGCAGGGGCCAGCCACAGCATCCTAGGTTGCTAAGAGCTCTTAGCAGCCTGTGAAGCTCCGTAAGGCTTCCCGCCTAGCTCAGTGCCATCTCTGGTTGCCTAGACCAGCTCCTATCACAACCCCTCCTCCCCCGGGACCCAGGCGCTAATTACCATTGGGACAGCAATGCTAATACCACCTTTTCTCCTAATCTCCATAACAAAATGGGGAGGTGCTTTGTAGTCCACAAAAATGCTGGGAACAATGTTAACTTAAAAGAGTGCAGTAGAAGCAGAAGGCACAGGTAGTTAGAAGCTAAATCAAACATCCAGCTTACTTTTCAAATCATTTCCAATGATGTTAAAGCCAGATAGGCATAACAATAACTATTCTGATTGTCTAGTTTGATGTCTAATCTGCATTTTACTAAGAGGTCTATTCACTAAGCCGTAGCTTCGACTGATCCTTCGGCTAGCTTCGGCCCCAGGACCCCTTCGGTTCAGTAGAACCGAAGGGCTGCTGTACGAGCTATTCACTATAGCCCGTACAGCTCCCGAACTTGGCCGAGCGGCTCAGTCGAGCCGAAGGCATATGCCTCGGCTCGACTAAGCCAAGGTGAAAGCCGAAGCTGGCCGACAGCCGGCTTCTGACAGCTGGGCAGAGCCAGCCGTCATCCCACGGCTGGCTCTGGCTACTTGCAGAGAGATCAGCGTCCCTGAAGCAGAGGGCGGGTGCAATAGCTAGTTTGCTATTGGCTATTGCAAAGTGAATTAGCCAATAGGAATCTAGCTATGCGTTCTGTTTTTTTTCTTTTCTATTCTAACGGCAGCAGAACCGCCCAGCCAATAGAAAACAGTTGGGCGGAGCAAGCTGTCACTGCTAGCTCCGCTTAATCGTTTTCTGCTTTATTTTTTACTACTTTTTTAACTGTTTTTCTATTTTGCTCGGTACCACAGAGGTACCGGGCAGAATAGCTGAGCAGAATGCCATCTATTGTTATATTTAAAGCTATTTGTAGTGTAGAATTGTAAGAAATTCCAAGGTCCAAATAAAAATGAATGTATCTATTTAATAATAATATATGATGGGTAGATTTGGAAGGAATATGATTAGCCAAAAGTATATATGGTTGCCACTCAGACGTGAATAGAATTGTAATTGGGTTTCTCTGACACTAGTGTAAATAAAAGGGATTAGCTTGTTAGCATGCTAATATGTCCTGCAGATCTCAACCCTTTTGTTGTCTTTGAGATCAATGGGCACCTTGATATGTTAAAATGTACAAGTGGTTTTACACCAAGTGGTAATTTGGGAGTATCCATTGTCTAGGATATGAACACAAGATAACATTCATATATATACTCTTCGTAGACAAAATGGAGCCAGCCAGGGGATGGGTAACCAAAGTAGTGATTAGATCAAAGGCATTTAAGTTGCCATCCAATCGGTATCATGAGACAGCTCTGATTAGGTTTGGTGGACCAATCAGGGGTTTCTGATGATTGTGAATGGGTTTAGTTAGGATAAAGAGGCTGAGGCCCCTGCATTTTACTAAGGGGTCTATTCACTAAGCTGCTGAAGGATCTAGCCAGGAAGGGTAGCCATTTGGAGACAGAGGACCTGAGAGGAGATGAGCCATTGTGGGACAGAGGAGCTGGGAGGAGGAAAGCCATTTTGGGAACCAGAGTGCAGAATCTCTGCACATCTTACAGAATCATTTAATTTAGACTGAAGCTCTATAAATCATTTTATCGAAATGTGAAACTTCTAAGAACCTGAATAACAGAATTGATTTAGGGTGTCTGTAGAGTGCAGGACTACTGGGTGTGTTCAGAACCACAAAAACAGCAGATAGGCATGATATGTAACATGTAGAGGAGTCCTTAACTCACCAGAAAGAAGACTGCCAAACAATATGCAGACACATGTAAGTGGCTATTCTTATGGCTTACTTATTACTGAGATTATTCTTTTGCCGGAAATTCTCCTTTAAGCACGAACAGCCATTTTCATGCATGCTTGATTTTCTATTTTGCACTAATTAGTAACTAAATCCCATTTCAATGATTTAGCATTTTATTATTATCAGTTAAACAGCTGGCACACGAGGAATAGGCAGACAGGAGAATTAGGATGAGAAACACAGAGCATCATAAAAATTCTAGATGCTCATTGATGAAGTGTAAAGGAGGACTCCAGTCAGGATATACTTAAAAGGAAACTATAATGGTCTGGGGTGAATTCTATTACAAGTATTAAAAAAGACCCTGTTACCAGATCTCTGCTTGCAGTAGTAGCAGAGCTGTCTTTAATATTGATTGGATCCTGGGCAAACATTTTCTTGGGCCCCCTCTCACCCATACCCACCAAACCCCACCATGCAATTTCACCTATGCATATGTCCATACGGCAGGGGTAGAGCAGCACTATGTGAAGCCGATTGCATACTAAACTGAACAGGTTGAACTTGATGGACTTGTGTCTTTTTTCAACCTGACTAACTATGTAACTATGGGGTCTATTCTCTAAGCTGCCAAAGGATCTAACCGTAGCTTTGGCTGATCCTTCGTCCCCAGGACTATTGGTCCTGTCGGCTATTGGTTATTGCAAAGTGAAATAGCCAATAGGAATCTAGCTGTGCATTCCTATGCTGGCTTTTTTGATTTATTATTCTGACGGCAGCAGAACCACCCGACCAATAGAAAACAGTTGGGCAGAGCTAGCTTTCACTGCTAGCTCCTCCCAATCATTTTCTATTTTATTTTTTCTTCTTTTTTAACTGTTTTTCTTTTCTACCACAGAGGTGAGTAGCCTGCCGGAGGTTCGACTCAGCCGATCCAGAAGTTGGATCGGCTGAATCAAACTCCTTCTGCACTTCGGGTCGGCGCAACATGCCGAGCATGTTTGGCCGACCCGAAGCCAGCCGCAGCAAGACGATGTACGGCTGATTTTAGTGGGTGTACGGTTGAAATCAGCCATACAAGCCTGAAGTGAATAGCGTTCGGCTCACTTCACTTTGGGTCGGTTATTCACTCGGCTGCCTAGGCAGCTTTGTGAATAGACCACTATGTAACAGTGCCACAAGTGTATCTTTTGCAGGCTCAAAGGGCCCCACAACAATGACTGTGCCTGGGGCACCCGCCCCTTTTGCCCTGCGTTAAAGATGGCCCTGAGTAGCAGTGAATAATATCTACTTCCAGTCTACAACAAAATTCTTTAAAATGTTCCTTTTATTTAATGTACTGAGGTCTGTAAGTTTACAGGGACTCAACACTTCCAAATGTGTCGGATGCCTGTCTTCCACATTTCCGCTATGCCCCACCCCCACAGATCACTTTTGTGCATGCTCCCTGTCAGCTTCAGTGCTATAATATGAGTTACAACTAAGGGGCTGAATTATAAATTTTCTGCCCAGTGCATAGCTGGACGGATGCTGTTTACACTGCACTACCGCCGATAGATGACAAGATGTTCCTCAGTACCATCTAGTGGTGCATTGCTATGCCAACGGCATTCCTCCAGCTATATGCTGGGCAGAAGATTTATAAATTAGCCCCTAAGGCTAAGTTTGGAGGCAAAGCGGCATTACTTGTGCATGTGAATGAGTGACCAGGCTGATTGCTGGACTTGCATTCTTCTTACAGCCCTCGCAGAGCAGAGAAGGAGGGGGAAGGTGGGGAGATATGCATCTCTCTGATTATTAAGGTGACACTAAAGTCAGGAGTTAAATCTTAAAATACATACAGGTACCCTAACTATTAACATAAATGTATCTTATTTGTGTATCACTCAGCTGTAGATCCTCAAATCACCTCTGAATTGGTGCTGACGCTGTCCTTCCTTCTGGAGGGTGGCTACTTTTGTTCCCCATGGTTCCTTTGTGTGTTATAAAGTAGCCACCACTCCAAGCTCACTCTCGTGATAGACTACAATCCCAATACAAATTATTAAACTAATTATGAAATTGAAGTCCATTACGGAAGTGAGTTTGGAGCGGTGGCTACATTACAACACACACAGGGACCATGGGAAACAAAAGTAGCCACTCTCCAGAAGGAAGGACAGTGTCAGCAACAATTCAGAGATGATTTACAAATAAGATACATTTGTGTTAATAGTTGAGGTACTTGAATGCATTTTTAAGATTAAACTCACCTTTAATGTCATTTAAGTTGGTATATTTTAGTAATTAGGAATAGAACTGTAAATAAGTGAAAAGTCACCTAGAGCGCAATCTACTGGCTGGAAATGAAAATACTTACAGGGTTATTCACAAAAGGGTGAAGAGTTTGGAGAAGGCAGGAGAAGTGAACGATCTAGGCCAAAATAGCTGAACTGGAAAGGCAACTGAATTGGAGAATGTTTCCAAATCAGCTATGTTGTCCTACATTGTTCACTTTTCCTGCCTTCTCCAAACTCTTCACCCTTTTGTGAATAACCCTTTTAATATTCACATGCAATATTGCTTATTTTTCAATTCTATTTTTTACTTATCAACACAATAAAGAAAATATTTAAACACTATACATTCCTTTTGATGTAAAAATATTAGTACCTGAAGGAACTCGGTCATCATGGATAGTATTATATATTTTTATCTTATGCTAATAAAAGCTTAAAACATCTATCATTTATTCACAGGACACTTGGCTAATAATATGTATTTTGTTAGAAATACTCTCTTCTTGTTTTTAGAAGCAAAAATCACCCGTCCACCAATGAATGTAAAACTTATTGAAGGTGTCAAAGCTGTCCTGCCATGCAATACCTTGGGAAACCCGAAGCCTTTTGTTTCTTGGCTAAAAGGAGAAAATGCTGTTAAGGTAATATGAAAATAAAATCCTTTTTATGGCTATTATGATCAATTGTTGCCTCAAACGACCTAACAAAGGAGACAAGTCCCAGCACAGCCTCTGGCTATTATCCACAAAACATCAAATAAAAGAGGAACTGTTCTCTGAAAGCTGTGCCCCAAAAAAGGTAGGCAGACCACCAGTCACCTGTATTGCCTGTGGTCTATGTGCAGCTGATCTTTTCCCTATTACTTACTCACCATGCCGTGTTCTGCACTGTGTCTCTGTGATGGGGTGGCCATCTCAGTAGAGACAGGGATTTACAGTACATCCATCACCAAATCTCACTCCAAATCTCCTGAGACTAGCAGTCAGAGGCAACAGAGCCTTAGATCTCACACTGCAGATATACTGTACAGCTGTGAAGCTGTCAGCATAGAATTACCTAGGCGCACTCACATATCAGGAATTGCTCTGTTATTTTTCAGGAGGAATTTCAGACAAAATGTAAATTTTTCTGGATACTGCTAAGGCACAATTAACATTTCTAAATGTTAACAGCAGATCTTCACTTTTTGATTTTAGTTTAATTCTATACTGTTTCACATAACAGCGTAGGATTTGACTGCTCTCAAGAGACATCATTTATTTCTTCATTTGTAGGAAAATGCACGCATCTCCATTTTGGATTCTGGAAGCCTGAGAATTCAGAAAGTACAAAGGGAAGATGTTGGTCAGTACCGTTGTGTAGCCAAGAACAGCCTTGGTACTACAATATCCAAACCTGCACTGCTAGAAGTAGAAGGTAATATTATGTATAGTGCTGTCTGTCTGCTAAAGCAAGCAATGAAGATGGACCTGATCACTGTTATTCAAAGCATATTATGCTCTATATTTTATAGTGTTTGCAATGGGTCTGTAATGCCTACAGAAGGTGTGTCCAAATTAAGCCGGCTTTAAAGAAGATCTCCAGGGAAAAAGATCTCCGAGAAGGGGGGCTACTCCCACACTGCAAGGGTTAAGTGCTTATTTAGGTCTAGGGATTAAAATAACAAAGATATAGCAACTTAACCTTGGAGCCGGCTTGCATTTAGATAAGTCTCTGTACCTCTCTCTCCCTCCTCTGCAGCAGCCTAAGGCCCTGTAAATCATCATGTTCTATACACAGTGTATAGAATGTGAGAAAACTGGGGGACATAGCATTTAATGTCTTACTGGTATTTCAAACAATTGTTGCCAGAATTGTAGTCACTAATATACTACAGCATACGTTTGTCTTGGCACAATAAATATTTGCCTAGAAGTTAAAGCTGAAGTTATATTTAGATATTGTGCGTTCTGGTTTTATTTGTTTTTGGTTTTTTCTTGAGATTAAGAGTATGGGATAGGCTTAAACCTAAATTAGGATTATTTTTTCTGATACTTTGTTTGCACTGCATCTTCCATTGGGCCTAATGGCTGGCCCTTATCTGGGACTTACTTACACTTACTTAAAGGAGAACTATGGGGTCAGTGTTTTTCCCCATAGTTCTCCTTAGGGTAACGGGAGGACACAAACTAGTGTCCTCCCGTTGCCCTGAGCTCAGTATACCGCGAGCTACAGCTAGCGGTATACTGAGACGCCGCAGCCGGAGCGCATCACGACTTAGATTACGGGATCCGCCCAGCTGCGTGTGTGACAGCTGGCTCTGCCTATCTAGAGGCAGAGCCAGCTATACCCGCCCCCTCCCCCGTCCGTTCCGCCAGTCAGCGCTGGCAGATCGGAGCGGGGAGAGGGGAATCCAGCCCCTCCCCCTGTCACGGCAGAGAGCCGTGACAGGATCGAGAGGCGAGCAAACCCGGTATGTGTTCACTCACCTCCCGATCTACTGAGCCGACCTGTGACAGTCTCATTGTCAAAGGTCGGCTAGAACTATGAGGTGAGTGAAAAGCACTCACCTCATAGTTCTCCTTTAAAGTGTATCTAAACTCAGGAACAAAACATGTAATGTATTGCAGCTTTCCAGTCCGTAGATGTGTTGATTCCCCCACCTAGATCATTTCTGTTTTACTATGACAATGCTCATTCATTATATGTCATCTATGGAGGAGCAAAGTTGTCACCCTAAGACAGGACTACAAACCATTTCCTGCCTTCATTTCTCCATAATATTGGGGAAAATGTTTTAGTATAGAGAGAAAGCTGGGAAGAATGCTAACTGATATGAATGAAACACAGGCAGAGAGAACAGAAAGTTATAAGCGCAAAACATTTCTGACAGGGTCAACAGGTATTTGTTTCCCATTTAGATATAAACAAAACACGTTCAATGTTATATTTAACAGACCAAAATGAAGCAAAACAAAGTTCTTGTTAGGGTTTATATACACTTTAATGTGCATCTAAGGACAAAATGTTTTTTTTTCCAGTTAAATTGAGTTGAGAAGGGTTCCCTCTAAATGCAGCCCTGTGTATGGGCATAAAACATACCTACCAGTGATGGCGGACAAGCAAGGCTTGTGTAAATATGTGCACATGCTGAAGTGCCTTACATAGCAAGGATATGGATGTGCAAGAGCAATGCATCCAAAATCCCTAATTTAAATGCTTAAAGGAGAAGTAAAGTTACAAATATAAAGAATTTTGGGGATTGTGGTCAGAAGAAACATGCAGAGTCTCTTCTGCAAAAAAAATGATTCCTCTCTCCCCCAACAATTTATACTGTACACTATATAGTGCATGCGCAATGCAGTGTACACACTCATTAACTCTAAGGTGATAAGGTCTCTTAGATGTTGTAAATGTGCATTTGTGCATGCGCAGGAGATACATCATCAGTGGCCACCCAATGGTTGTAGAGGATGCTTGGGAACCCAGAAGTGGCGGTGGTGGGGTACAGAGCAGGGGATCAAAGATTGATCCAACAGCACTGGAGAAGGGCACATATGTAAGGTAAGTATTGCACTGTGCATACTTGCACATTCAGGCAGAAACACAGCCTTCTCACAGCGGTGAGTAAAGTATCATTTTAAAAAACGCATGCACTGTGCACTATGGGGTCTATTCACAAAGCTGCCGAAGGATCTAGCCGTAGCTTCGGCCGATCCTTCGGCTAGCTTCGGCCCCAGGACCCCTTCGGTTCAGTAGGACCTAAGGGGTGCTGTACGGGCTATTCACTATAGCCCGTACAGCTCCCGAATGTGGCCGAGCTGCTCAGTCGAGCCGAACGCATATGCATCGGCTCCGCCGAGCCGTGCTGAATGCTGAAGCTGGCAGAGCGGCCGGCCGACTGCCTGCTTCTGACAGCTGGGCGGAGCCAGCTGTGATCTTACGGCTGGCTCCGGCCACTTGCAGAGAGATCAGCGTCCCTGGTTAAAAGCTTACCAGGGACACTGATCTCCAGACAGCCTAACTCTCCCTGGCGCTCCGGGAGTCTCCAGTCAGAAAAGGTATTCAGTGTGCCCCCTTGGATTCTTGTTTAACTTTGAGATTTTTATTTTTCTGGTATTGGAGCTAAGCCTTGAACCCTAACCTAAGCATTGGCCCCCTCCCATATTTTATTCAATCAGTGCCCTTAGGTATGACCTTCACACAGCCAGAAAAAGGTATTCAGTGTGCCCCTTCAGATTCAGTTTTTTCTGTTTTTTCTGTTTTTTACTTTCGGAGTTCCACTTTTCTGATATTGGGTCTAAGCCCTGGACCCTATATTAAGCCTGGCCCCAACCCTCCATCCTTTTGTCCAATAAGAGAACCTAAGTGTGACCTTTATACAGCCAGAAAATGTATTCAGTGTGCCCCCTTGGATTCTGGTTTCACTTTGAGAATTCAACTTTTCTCATATTGGAAAACACAGAGGGGGCGCCTTTCCTGGTGCAGATCAATTTTATTTCGGTAAACATGAAGTAAAAAGCAGGAAGGTACTCACAAAGGATGAGTGTCACACAGTCATGTAAATTACGCTGACAGGCAGTGAGCATCCACTGGACGGATCCTGTGTGATGGTGACGGTAACGCGTTTCCGGGGTACGCCCCTTCTTCAGAACGTTCACGTGTGAGTACCTTCCGGCTTTTTACCGAAATAAAATTGATCTGCACCAGGAAAGGAGCCCCCTCTGTGTTTACTTTATAGATCTATAGCTTTCCCGGCTTTCTTTGGGGCAGCATCCTCCAGTATGCCCAAGAGGATTTTCCATTGAGAAGAGATAGTTTGTGGCGCTTCATTACTTTTTACTTTTCTCACATTGGATCTAAGCCCTGGACCCTTAACTAAGCCTCCCACCCCTCCCCCATCTTTTTGTCCAATGAGAGCCCCTTGGTAGCCAATAAGAGCATGCTCATTGGAGATAGAATAAGTGAGATAGCTAAGCCAGAGAAGTGGCTAGCTAAAGTCAGAGACATGAAGCATTAAGTAAAACAAGCCAACAAAGGATGAGGCTTAGCTAGCCCTATTGTAAGTTAAAAACGCGGAAATGGTGACCATATTCACTCAGCATATTGTTAATAAATTCTTGCTAATAGTTCTTGTTGACACAAAGATGTGCAATACAGAAACCTGCAGAATGTTCTGAAATTCTATCACACTTAATAAAATAAACACAGTGTACTGTACTATGCCATTTTAAGCCCATTTTATAGTCATAAAGTTTTCTGAAACAAAATGCAGCAGCCGCATGTTTTCATCAGAATAATGTGCAACAGTTAAAATTCACATCAGTTAGAAGTGTTTTCTTTTATTATGGCATTACAACGATTCTCTTGTTTCGGCATTGAAAATGTTTTTCTTGTTGTGGCTGTCGATAAACTTTGTTATCCTGGCTTTTAGAAGATGTTAAGCTGCTTGCAGAAACTGACAGCCAGAAAAAGTCTATGACATTTCCACAGAAGAATAATGTTTCAGTAAAGGTAGAACGGAAACAGACAGAAGATGCCACACTGTCCTGGAATGACATGACCTTCCGCTTTGCTTTGGAATGTCAGCTTGCTGAATATAGCCCGTGGGCCTGTATTTGTTCTGGATATAGAAGGGAGTTCTGTAGACACTGGTTTCATAAAGGAGCTCCAGTATCAGCTATCTGTTTGCAATATTCTCTTTACTTATTTGCAAAAAAAAATAAATCTATTTTTAGAGTTGTGACAAGGCAACTGTGACTACAGAACATTATTACTAAGCAGATATTTTTGTAAATATGAAATGCCAGTCTATGCCTAATGTGCATCAGTGATAAACATGTAATTAACCAGAATATGCAAACTCCATGCTTAGTTAAAATTAGATCTTTTTAGGAAGATCTGGCTGAGTCTTGATAAGAACAAAGTACAGTGTATTTTTTAATATTCAGCTGGTATCATTGGCAGATATTCAGACCTCCTACCACATCTCCAATGTGAGTGTTGACAATAAAACTTCAAAATGTGTATTGAGTTACCACTGCTAGAAGTTTAGGGAGGCCCCTGTGGTTCTACAGCCCTAGCCCTAGGACTGTATGTGCTATGTATCTACTTTTCTTACTACCTTATACGTCATGACTGTCCTAGCTGTCCAAATAATACATTTCACCTTGAGACTAGCATGGAACACATGATACATCCAACTCAAACATATCACAGTAACTTGTAGTAAAAACACTACATCTGACTCCAATGAATACATTGCAATTATATACATTTGCTGGGGCAGCCATATTTTTGCTCATTACACACACAGGGAATGATTTACTAAACAAGAGAAGATAGCAAAGTCAGTGATTTCTTGATGAACAAGGTGAAATAGTTCACTTTAATCATCCAATCATGTGCAAGCAAAAATGTTTTTTTTTTAAAGTTTC